AAAAAAAAAAAGCAATGACTGGTTGGTAAAAGGAGTTTCACAAATGCAGAAGCTAGCTGGGTATGGTGGCACATACCTATAATCCTAACACTCTGGGAGGCTGTGGCGGGAGGATCGAAAGTTCTAGCCTGGGCCAGGCAACTTAGTGATGCCTTGTCTCAAAATGAAAAATAAAGGGCTGGGGATATAGCTCATCCCAGGGTAAAGGTCTGGGGATGTAGCTCATCTCAGGGTAAAGGTCCTCGGTTCAATTCCCAACGTAAAAAAAAGGAAGAGCCAGGACATGGCTGACTGAGGGAGCAACAGGAAGTGGAAAGGTAATGTACCACACATGGGTCACTCATCTAACCAGTTTAAAAAGGAAGGGCAGCTGGGCGTGGCATGCACCTTTAATCCCAGCACTTGAGAGGCTGAGGCAGGAGGATCATAGCAAGGTCAAGCCCAGCCCAATCTACAAAGTGAGACCCTATCCCCCAAAAAACAACAAAAATAAAAAACAGCCCAAAAAAGGAAGGGCTCTGCTTAGAGGAAAGACTGAAGGAGAATACACTTTCAAGATCCCTGAGCATATTTTCAGAATGAAGGGCAAGATCTAGGAAAGAAGGCATGGGTGAAAACAGCAAAGAAAGGAAGGTGCAAATCCATGAAAGAGGCCTGCTGTGTGGAATACTGAAAAATAAGCTTCAAATGAAGAAAGGTGGGGAGAGGAAGGAGGTACAAGTGAAGATAACTTCTGACGGGGGCAAGGAGGCCACAGAGTCCCTGACTCCTTGTGAAGATTTTTTTAAAAGTTCGAGACAGGGTCTAAAGCGTGCGGGCTGGGTCTGAATCTCTGATCTTCTTGCCTGAGCCTCCCAGAGTGCTGGGATTACAAGTGTGTGCCATCAGGCCCAGGCTAAAATATTTATTCAAATATTATGAAGTGGCTGATAAATTACTAAATTTGATAAACCAATTACTCAAAGACTAGGTAATTTAATTATTATAAAAATATTGTGAGGTGCTCGGTATGATAGTGCACACCTATAATCTCAGCACTCAGGAGGCTGAGGCAGGAGGATCTTGAGTTCCAGGCCAGCTTGGAGCAGAGAGTTCCAGGTCAACCTAGGCTATACAGTGAGACGCTATCAGAAAAATATTGTGAAAATAATAAAAATATTTAAAAGTTATCAGATACTATTTGATAAGCACTGTGCTAAGTGCTTTACATGAATTATTTCATTAAATCATCATACCAACCTCGTGAGACTAGATCAGTGTTTTTCAACACTGGCAGCACATCTGAATTGTCTCCAGAGTTTCTAAAAAAGATATCAAGGTCCAATCTGGGTGTGGTGGCACACACCTGTAATCCCAGCTCTCGGGAGGCTGAGGCACAAGGATCACTGTGAGTTCAAAGCCAGCGTGAACTACACAGCAAGAACCTGTCCCAAAAGACACCAAAAAAGAAAAAAAAAAATACAAGGGTGCAGGCCCCACTCCCAGAGATTCTGACGTTGTTGATCTAGGGCAGTGGTGGCAAATCTATGGCAAACGTGACACAGCGGGCTATTTGTATCACTGAAAGCTCTAAAAGGTTCGTCACCACTGATAGGTTAAGCCTCAGCATCAGTAAGTCTTAGAAGTTCCCCATGTGAATCTGATGATTTCAATTTCCAACCAGTCAAGGCTGAGAACCACTGGACCGAGCCACCTGCTGACTGACCAGAATGGAGTGGTGGACAGCTTGAAGCAGGGCTGAAGGGCTGCTGAGCAGTGCAGAGGGCCAAGCTGAGGTTCGAGACCAGGTATCAGTAATCCTAAACCCCAAGGTTATGGGAGTCTCCAAAGGGCTCAACAGTCTTGGGTTTCAGTGCAAACAAAGCAGACCGCCGGACTGATCCTGATGTAGTCTGGCAGGTGGAGGCAGCAAGATGACCAAAAGGAGGAGCTGGGGCACCTCAATCTAAGGATGAGGGCTTAGGGCTAATTTCCAGCTCACAGGAAATGCAGAGACCAAACAAACATGAGGGCTGGGAGAAGTGGGGAAGCAGGACCGGCTCAAAGGTCTGGAGTCTGTGGGAACAGAACAGGAAGGGAAAGGAAGGAAACTGGCAAGCGGGTCTCAGAATCTGCACAGCTCATGGTGACACAAGAGCAGGGTAGGGGCACAGAAGTGGGGTCTGAAACGATGACAGATGTGGAAGGAACACACATCCTCAAGGCTAGATGGTCCTGGGAAGCCTCCTCCGCTGGGGCCTTTGCAAACACTATCAGTAACCCACGTGTCCTTCGGCGGGCGAGCGCTTTAACGTACTGTGGCCCGGCTGCACCACAGAATACCGTGAAACAGTACAAAAGAACAAACTTGATACACAACTTGAATAAAACCTCTAGAGAATTATGCTGGGTAGAAAAACCAACCCCAAAGGTTACGTACTATGTGATTTCATTCATTTAACATTCTTGGAAGTATAAAATTACCCAAATGGAGAGGAGGTTACCTGCTGCCATGAATTAAGAAGAGTGGGGAGCTTAGGGGTAGATGGGAAGTGCGGCCAGTGCTAAAAAGGCAACAGAAAGGTTCTGTACCTTTTTTTTTTTTTTTTAACATTTTCTTTCTTTTTGGATTTTTCAGCCATGGCCTCGCTAAGCAGCACAGGCTGGCTTCAAACTTGTCATCCTCCTCCCTCAGGCTCCCAAGTGCTGGGATTACAGGCTCTGTTCTGTATTCTGACCGTATCGGCGTCAACATCCTGACTGTGCTATTGTGCTACAGTTTCGTGAGATGTCACCACTCAGTGAAACAAGGTGAAAGGCACCTGGATTATTTCTCACAACTGCACGTGCATCTGTGATTACCTGAACACAAAACAAAACAAACCTCAATCAAAAACTGAACCCTAATCTACTCTCCCCCCTTACTATATGCCATTCCTTTGCACATACCATATGTACAGCCAGATTGGACTTCATTTTTCCAGAGAGGGTAAAATGCCCCTTGCCTCTTTAAAGCCATATGCAGTGGAGCAGTCTTACGTTAGGTGTTTATAAAGTCAGCACATTAGATAAAATTTGCATATATCCAAAATGATCCTAGAACAGTGGTGGCGAACCTATGGCACGAGGGCCGAGCCACTGTCTGTGAGCATCGAGAGCTCTAAAAGGCTCACCATCACCTAGAACATCGCTTATGAGGGTGTTACATCAGAGACCAACGTGTCAGCTCTCATGAAGCCCCAGATGGCCACCCCTCCCCATTCTGGACTGTAACAGTGACCGCTTCTGCAGCTGAACATGAAGTAGGTGGGTTGTATTCAGGGCCCATATTTTAGGAAAATTTTCTTTGAACACCACAATCCCACTTTACAAGCTTGGATGCTAATACAAAAACAGAGGACAGCTTTAGAAAAGCATGTTCATGTCTCCCATCTCTCACAGGCATAGGTTCACTGAGTAGAAAGAAGGGGAGAATGGCTTGACGCCCAGCCCTCCACATGCGTATGGTTGAATTTATATGATGCAATTCTACTACTACCCATATCATACAGCAGTGAAATTAATTTCTTTACCTAACTGCTTCCAACTAGACTGTGATAATGCCCCGCCCCCCATCCTCAGAGCCTAATACACTGCATGGTACAGGGCAGATGTCACTAAATGCTTACTGAATGAATGAATCAAGGTATAGGCTCCCACATCCTGACTAAAATATGAAAACTGCCTCGCCATACAGCACAAGCAGTATAGTTCTGTTTGCAGGTTCACTTTTCTCGTGGGAGATACCCCTCTGGGCCTAGGCGAAGTACTGTAAGTAACTGCAGTATTTGCCGATTGTCTCCAGCCCTGTTTTCACAGTCAAGGGCCCGGCTTGTAGCTCACTGGTGGGGGAGTTTCCTAATGAGAACTGTACCTTTGCCGGTTTCGCAGAGGAGCCTTTTAACATTTATCTAAGCTCTTGACCTCATAAAACATTATCTTGAGAATAACTCACTGGGAAGAGCTAACAATATATTTTAAGGAATGCACTAAAAATGTGAAGAAATTCTAGTAAAGTCAGAAAAAGTATTTGAGAAAATATTTGAAAGGAATTACTTTTCATAAGTGAGACTGGCTATTTTCCAATTCGTGTCACCTTGGTTTTACATCAGTGTGATCTTTTATGTGTACATGCATATGTACATGTGTGTGATTTCTATTTAACATGGGAAAAAAGGAAGTAGTGAATTAACTTACCTTTACTGCATTGCCACCACCTTTGGGGCCTTGAGCCTTCTTGTCAGCACTGTCACTTCCAGAGGCTGCTCCCCCTTTAGAGAAGAGGTAACAAGTAGTCAGGAAATTGTACCTTGACATTTACAGCAAGGTCCAACACACAGCGTAAGTGGATATGAGTCATAGCATCAAGCTTCAAAAAGGAACTCTGCCAGATACTTCACTACAGCAAGCTAAATGAATGTGTGACTCATACCTCAAAACAGGAAATCCGTGTCCTATGTAAACACTTCATGGAAAATGGATCTATAAATGAGTGTGCTAATGGATGAGTTCAAGCTCCAGAAGCCAGGGCCAGATTTTTCTGGACCCAATTTCAAATCATGCCTCCTAAGAGCAAACCCATAAGCTCTTGTAAGACTTCTAATATGTATTACCACTATGGATTCACTATGCAGTCACAAGTTGAATAAGTACAATCTCCAAGAATATGTTAAACAGATTTGGCTAAAGAATATATTCATTTCCAAATTCCCAGTCTACTGCGTTACCTGCTGAAGTCTTTCTAAGAAGAGGCATTGGTACTCAGATTAATAACCACTGGTAGCATCTTACATTTCACTCCTGTGTCATTTTACTCCTGTTAACTTCTGTGTCAGAAGCAGCATACTGTTAGACAGGCTGATGCTCCTAGGAACTATAGCTGGGTCAAGTGTTCCTAAATAAGGACTAAGGTCCAGGCATTGGGGATACTGAGAAGCAAGGAACAAGCCATGGGAACTCACATTCTAGTGAGGAAGACATCACTTCTGGAGAATGTAGCAGGTGCAGAGAAGGTTAAAGCACAGAGGGCTATGGAGGCAGAGGGGACATTTTAACCAGCCAGGCAAGGTTTCCTGGCTGTCCAGGAGCTGGCTAGTTAAAGGCAAGAAGACACTCTAGGCTGGGAGAAATAGCATGAGTAGAAAATTGTAAGATGAAGCCAATTTTGGGGTGAAAGTGCCATCAGATGAACCTGCTAGGGGAGGGAGCTGAGGGTCAAGACACAAGATTTTTGGATCCCCAAACTTGTTTTGTTTTTTGTAGTGCTGAGGATTGAACCCAGGACCTCATGTTTGGCAAGCATTTTATCACAGAACTACACCCCCAGCCTGAAACTTGGAATTTATCTTAGAAGTAATAAGAAGCCAGGGAAGCCGGGTGTGGTGGCGCCCACCTGTAATCCCAGCACTGGGGAGGCTGGGGCAGGAGGATTGCTGTGAGTTTGAGACCAGCCTGGGCTACAAAGTGAGCTCAAAGCCAGCCTGAGCTGCATAGCGAGACTCTATTTTACTTGTCTTAGTACAGGTTAAGTATCCCTAATCTGAAAATCTGAAATCCCTTTTGGATTTTGAGCTTAGACACTCAACTGTAAAGTCTATACAAATATCCCCAGATTCAAATAACTCTCAAATCTGAAATACTTTTGTCCCAAGCATTTTGGATAAAGTATATTCAATCTGTATCTCCAATGCTTAGAACAGTGCCCAGCATAAAACAGGTGCTCAATAAATGTTCAATTCAACAGAAAACCCAAAAATACCGACCATTAAAACTCTAAAGAAAATGTTACTGCCAAGAGTTTTTATTAAGCCAAGCTATTATCTGGGTTTGCTGCACATACACTTTTTTTTTTTTTTTCAGTACGGTGGATTGAGCCTAGGGCCTCCAGCACGTTAGGCAAGTGCTCTACCACTGAGCTACATCCCATCTTTTATTTTTTGAGACAGGGTCTTGCTAAGTTGCCCAGGCTGGCTTTGAATTTATAATCTTCCTGCCTCGATCTCCTGAGTAGCTGGGACTAGGGGTGTGCACCACTGTGCCCAGCTGTACTCACTCTTGAAAGCTGACACCTTACAGCGTCCCATCTTCTCCCCTCTGAGTCACTGTCTTCTAACTTGCACCTCACTCTGTGATTTACTCAGGACTCGCATATCTACTTTAGGCTTTCTCTCCACCCTCAATTCTGCCAGCATCTTGGGCGACCCCGCCACCCAAGTTCAGGAGTCTCATCCAACAACTTAATTCCAGTTTGCACCCAAATACCCATGTTCTCTATTGCAGGCCTCCTGTCTCAGAGGCACATGACAGAACTGTGCCACTCAGAAGTAGTGTTCAGTTCCTGCCCACAACCTCTTCTTCTGGCTTTCTCCTGCCTCATCCTCACAACCCTGGTTCTTTGACTTCATAGAGCACCACTGCCACCGCTAAGTCCTCTTATCCTGTTAAGTTCCCGATCCAACTTCTGTCCCAGTCTGGACCATGCTTGCACATTTGAACTGCATCCCCACTAGACCCTTAATTTCTTTGTGTTGCTATCCTATTATACCTGCTCAACACAACCCCAACCCTGGCTCTAGTTGCACCTAGGTCCTTTCAATTCTATATTGTACAGTTGCAAGGTGCTAGGTAAATTGTGACTGTGCAGATTATGTCTTCTACAAATTCATGGCCTTCAAGCTGTCAGGGTTCTAGCCCTGAAGGCAATTTCGGAATTTGTGTTTCATTCCGTCTTCCATCACCATATTCCAAACCTTTGCCACTCTCAAGACCCCTACTGAGTCCCTGGCCCCTCAGTCTTTTAAAAAAAGAAACGTGCCTTCATTTCATTAAAAAGTTGGGGTCAACAAGCACAATCTCCCAAACTTCGCCCCTCCCTCCCTTCTGGCTGCAGTACTTACAACCAAGGGTACGCTGTCTCTTTCTCTATGAGGAACATAAAACTCCTATTCAAAAGTCAGACGCTCCGCCTCGCTCCTGGGCTCCCATTTTCTCCAAAACCCTACTCTTCTGTACCTCGGCCTCTCTTACTCTACTGGATCCTCTACCTCTGCCTCACTCGCACGTTTTCCTGCTCAGAAGAAACAAAATATTTCTCCTAATGCTTCGTCGTCTTCTACCTGTCATCCCATTCTCAAGCCTTTTCAGTTGAAACTTCCCAGAGAAGTCCACCGGGACTGTCTCCAACTCACCACCTCCCAGCCAGTCCTCTAGGCACTGCAGTCTGGCTCCTGTCCTTCTGAGGCTTTTGCCTAAGGCCACCTCTAATTTGAAACTCTAAACAGTACTGTTTTTCAGTCCTCGTATTTGGTTGCTCTGTTGTGCTGGACAGTTCTTTAAAACTTTCTGGTTTCATTCCACTGCATTCCCTTTATCTTCCTCTCCCCCGGGTTCCACACTATGACTTTTAGTTTAGGCCACCACCTCCTCTCACCAGGACCACTGCACCAGTCTCCTTGCAGGTCGTCCCGACCCGTAGGCAAACTTCGTAGCGTCATGTATAACTGGTTTTGTTTTGGGCTTTTGTTCCACCAACAGTACACCGCACAAATCATGCCGTTTTTCATCCCAGCGCCCTTGCTGCTGCATCCTGTGGGGAATGCTCCGCCCTGCCTCCACTGCCCATCTTGGCACTCATCTCTACAGAGTCTTCCCTTCCCAGTCCCTCGGCTAGACGAAGCACTTCCTCGGTTTCCAGAATACTATCTCAGCACTGCATTTAACACAGTACTTTACGGTTACTATGCTTCTACCCCACTACTTCGGGGGCTCCAAGATGTCTCTTCACAGCCTAGGAACCGCGTGGCAGCCCCACCCACATCATCGCCTCAGAGGAACGAGCCTTATGAGGACGGTCCCGGCACCGTACCCCAATGTGTTCCCCCACCGGCAAGTAGCACTTGTTCTTTCTAAGCCTCACCGGAGCGCTAGACGTAATGGACGACAGCCCCGCAGGGTGACTGGCCACCTGCTGCCTCCGTCTAGGACCCTGACAGTCGCCTGCCTGCTCCTTCCCCAGGCTTCACCCACCCCCACTGTCCCTGATTGTTTCGGTAGCTCTACCTTTCCCTCCTTTTCCAGAACCACTTTTTCCTTTGGGCGGCATCCTCGGAATTCACCGTTGAACTCTCAACTACGGTTCCGGGAGCCGTAAAAAGGCCCCCTCAGGCCCCACGAGGGCGTCCTGAGCAGTGCCTGAAAGCAACGAAGCTTTCTTCTCGCGGCTCCGAAGCAGGCACAGCCTGGGGCACACCCAGTTCTTTAGCTCTTGGACCAATCGGGCTGAAGGTGTTTGCCGGCTAAGAAGCTGGAACTGGGGTCGAGGGGCGGAGACAAGGGCGGGGTTTCGGCGAGAAAGACCGCCTCTGCGTTTTTTAAATCTACGTTTTGTTTTTTGAGGTATATGCTTCAGGCTGGCCCTGAACTCACTATGTAGCCCAGGCTGCCCTTAAACTCTCAGGGATCAGCCTGCCTCAGCCTCCCGAGTGCTGGGATTACAGGCGTGTAGCACCGTTACCTCTGTGCGCCTTATTTGTTTCGACACCCTATTTACAGCAGCTTCCTCGCACCTCTTATCCCCAACCCCCACTCCCTTCACGCGTGCGCAGTGAAAGCCCTGCGCCTCTGCAGTCCCTAGGCGCTGGTTCTAGCCAATCCTGGGGCCCCAGACAAAGGGATAAGTAGGAAGAGGCATAGACCCCGACGCCCCTGCCTTTCCACGCAAGCCTGCCCTCCCTGGCTGTTTTTCGTTTTTAAATTTTATATTGCAGCTGTAGCTGGTTGACTTTAAAAGGTAGTTTTTTTTTAAAAGGCTATCACCTCTCTTCCTGTTGTAGAACTTCGTGAAGGAAAAACGTTGGAAGCAGTCTAGATGCTCTTAGGGTACTAGAGTGGCGCCTAGGTTCACGAACTGAATTCTCTCCACGATTCTGGTTGCAAACTGAACTGGACGAGCACCAAATCAGATTTCCCCATAAGGGCAATACTGAACCTAACCAGTGAATTTGATTTGGTTCTCGTCCAATTCGGTTTGTGACCAGAATCGTGGAAAGAATCAAATTTGTGAACCGAGGTACCACTGCATTTACGTAGTGTTTCTGTCACACAAAAGAATAGTATACACTATTTAAAAACACTTAAAGATTCTGAACCATTTTGGGCCCAGGCCACTGCTTGACTGTACAATCATAATGCCATTTAAGATCTGCAGAAATAATACTGTAGGACGATTGGAAGGCTATGTGTACAGATGGGGGAATAGCCTTCATGGAGGCTACACATCAAGATACATAATATAATTCCTTTCTAAGAAAGTGTACATCCTGTACTGTATAATACATTCAAAGGACAGGCAGAAAGCTGGGTATGGTGCCGCATACCTGTAATCCCAGCAGTCAGAGGCTGAGACAACAGGATTGTAAGTTCGAGTCTAGCCTGGACAACCTGATAATGTAGTGAGACCCTGTTTCCAAATAAAAATTTAAAGCTGGGTGTAATGGTGCATGCCTGTAATCCCAGTGCTTGGGAGGCTGAGGCAGGAGGATCGCTGCAAGTTCGAGGCCAGCGTAGGCTACATAAATGAGTTCAAGGCCAGCCTATACTACATAGGGAGACCCTGTCTCCAAAAAACCTAAATAAATAAAAATAAAATAAATAAGGATTGGGGGTTTAGCTCACTTCAAAGTCCCTGGGTTCAGTCCCCATTGCCATTAAATAAATAAACAAATAAATAAAGCCAGGGGTGGTGGTGCACGTCTGTAATCTATACTGGGAGGCTAGATCAGGAGGATGCAAATTTGAGCCTAGCCTGGACAATTTAGCGACTTTTTGAGACCTTGTCTCAAAATAAAATTTTAAAAGGGCTGGGCATGATGGCACATGCCTGTAATCCTAGCACTGGGGAGGCTGAGGGAGGAGGATTGCTGCAAATCTGAGAGCAGCCTGGGCCACATAGAGAGTTCAAGACCAGCCTGAACTACATGGCAAGACCCTGTCTCAAAAAAAACCGTACACACACACATACATACATGCATGCATACATATATACATATACATATATAAATGGCTGGAGATATAGCTCAGTTTGAAGGCTCTGGGTTCAATCCCCAGTACCACACACACAATGTATGGATTCCGGAACCAGATTGCGTCGTTTCAAATTCTTCACCATCTGTCTACTGGCTCTGTGACCTAGAGGAAGTTATTTCACCTCTCTTTAGCTCAGTGTCTGCATCTGTGAAATGAAGTTGATGAAAATAGTACTTACATTGCATTAAGAGAATTAAACAAGATCCTATGTGTAAAATATGTAGGATGGTGTCTAGCTCATAGTTCGCGTTAGTTTAGGATGAACTAGGTTTGAATTTGTGCCTCCACATTTTCCTCTCCTTACTGAAACCCTCCCTCCTCCACCAGTAATTTGTATATAATGTCTGCTTTTCCTTCGTTCCATGAGACAGCTGTCTCAGCTTGCCACTGCCAGCCAAAATACGCAGTTCCACCAGCTTGGAGTCTAGGGTTTGTCTTTCTTTGATGCTGAGGATGGAACCCGAGCCTCAGGCACAGCCAACAAGCAGCTCTACTACTGAGCCGCACTCTCAGCTCCTATTGTTTTTTTTTTCCCCCTAATACTGGGAATTGAACCCAGTTGCATTCTACTGCATTCTACCATTCTACCTAATCCCTTTTTATTTTTATTTGGAGACAGAGTTTAGTTTTGGAATACAATATTTTTTGGAACTGGGGCTGCTTCATGCCCAAACCAGAGTCACGTATTTCTGAGCCTGCAGCCATCCCCAAATCAGACATAAAAGGAGCCCCTTAGGTTGCACCACTGTGACTTCTGAACACATCTTGAGCACTGTTTGTTTTGGGTTGGGAGTGATGCGCTGGAGAGAATGCATTCAGTGCTGAGGCAATGTTTGCTCTCCCATGTTTGAGGTGGATCCCACCCCTGTACTGACTTTCCAGATCCAGACTGGGTTTGGGGACTGAAAGTGACAGTGTGGCCTCACATTCATGGCCAGGAGCCCCAGGAGGCTCCTTTACTTCTGGTTTGTCATTGAGAAGAGCCTTTACGTGACCAGCAGCTATGGCAGTGATGGAGTAGAAATTAAAAAAAAAAAACAACCCAGAGTTTAGCGCCCAGGCAACAGTTAACATGAATGGCTGATGTACCTAGCAAATACTTAGTGCCTGAAGTGTTGTGGAAACTCCAGGCATTTCAGCAGATAATAACAGCAGCCATGCCTGTGTACACAGCTAAATTTGTCCAAAGCAGTACCTAAAGGCCAGCAGCTCCAAGGAGAAAAAGATGAGTGTAGGTCTGCAGGGGGCTCAAGGTCCAAAGCATTTTAAGGCAGTCAGATATAAAATCATGTATGATCTCAACTACATAGTATGCATCGCAGAAAGATGGGATGGGAAATATAAGATTCTCAGTGTTCTAGAATGTGCATTTGTGCCTAACATCCATTCTCTTGTGTTTCTATCATATTCTGTGGCTTGGCATTTTTTATTATTTAAGTAAAAAGGCAATAAATATTATTTGAGAAATAAACAACAAAAAAGCCAGCTTCTCTACAGGGTTAAGTCTGCACCAGTCTTCAGAGGCAGACTGTGGGGGAGTCTGTGAAGCAGAGTGACAAATTAACTGAAGAGAGGGCAGGGGGAGCAGAGAGGGGGAAGATTCAGCCTTGAAACCATGGTAACATCTGCTGGAGTGCGCAAGTGACTCAGCCAGTAATGGCTGCCAATTGTATTTGCTGCTAATTATCTCCTCAGACTGAGGCTTCTACGCATTCCTTAAACAAGGATAATCAGGAAGGGGAGCTGGCAGCCCTCTTCCCAATACAGAGGTTCACGAACACTCACCGCCCCCCTCCAATCGCTCCAAAAACCAAAGGACTAATGGTGTTTTTCCTATCTGAGATAGCAGCAGAGCTTATTCTGAAAGGAAACTTGAAGCAACAAAACGCAGACACCTAGTTGATCCTGTTCACAGGTGGTCAGTGAAGGGAGCTGTGGGCCCCAGACTCAAAGGACAAGGATAGAAAAAGTTGCCATTGGAAATTGAAACCTGGAAAAAAAAATATCAGAAAATGGTGGATAAGATCAGCTGCTGCAAAAGCAACCACCCGCCACGGCAAATGGATGCACATCTATTGCTGAAGGACTGCTGCAGCTCCCTGAGTATAGTCAGCGGCCGAAAATTTTTGTAACGCACTTCATGCTATTGTAACAGAGCAGGCATGAGGTAATGAGGCTTTGAGTGACTCTTTTTTCAAAAAGAACCTCAGAGAAGACGCCATCCTTGTTTTTCCAGCGTTGTGTAAACAGCAAACAAACAAACAAACACTAGAGCTTCTGGAAGACGTGACTCTTCCAGATCTAGTGGGGTGGAGTTTTTCAGAGACAGTGTTCATTTGAGACCGTGCAAAATAGGGAGCTCACAAGGCTTGTACACTATGATCAGGGAGCTTCCCTCCATGACATCTTTTAAGCTTATGTTGTTTTGTTTTCGTTTTTCCAGGTTTTTTATGGGGTGGAACCCAGGGCCTCCCATATGCTAAACAGGCACTCAACCACTGAGCTACACCCCCCAAGCCAGTTCTTTTGTTTTCCCAGCGATCTTATTTGAGAAATATCACGATTATCATTTTAGACCTGAAGAAACAGACTCAGAGAAGTCAAGAAATGTGCCTAAATTTTCACCTCTGAAAAATCATGGCAGGACTGGGCTCTGAAGTCAAATCTGACTTCCAGGCTGGTAGCCCCACCAGGATGCTATGCTGCCCAGGTCTTGCCATTTCCTACATTAAATCCAAGAACACCCAGTTCTCTTTGTCCTGAATGCATGTTCACCAAGGCAGCTACCTAAGGACACGAGGCCTACAGGGGGGCACTCTGTGCAAGAGGCACCGCATGGGACATAATAAATTAGCCTTTGGCTTATGCATCAGTGTGTTGGTTATGAGTCACCCAGCATGGGGAGAGCAGTGGGTGGAGCACAGTAGCTGAGGCAGACAGGATGTGGGGAGGGAGATGTTTTCTACATCCTCACCTTCTGGAGCTATTCTCTATGCCATGAGATCTACCTCTTAAATACCTATTTTCCTGCCCCATGCCATGTTTTGTTTGTTTGTTTTAAGAGACAGGGTCTCACTGTGTTGCC